CTACGACTATCACCACTACCATCGCTGCTCCGCCTCTCCCATCTTCTCTTCCCATCGATCATCGTTGCTTCGTTTTCATCGTCATTTCGTTTCTGTCCTCGCTGTTCTTTCTTTCCTTTACTTTTTCCTTTTCCCTCTTTTCTTTTTCCCTTTTCCCTTTTCCCTTTTCCCTTTCTCCTTTCTCCTTTTCCCGTTTTCCTTTTTCCTTTTTCCTTTCTCCTTTTTCCTTTTTCCTTTTCTCTTTCTGTACGATCATTTCATCCCTGTCGAGGAAAAAAGAGGAAAAAGGAATTAGACAGAAAGAAGTCTCACCTGGAGTTACTCGAAGCGACGCTATTGTTGGAGCGAGATCTTCGACTTTTCAACGAATCACCTCGGTTTACGATCCCTTTACCGGTTATACTGAAATGTCGACGCCTATAATATTCTTTCTCGACACCGGTGTTTGGCATGCTCGCGACTCTAGATCTCTGTTGCGGAAGACACAAGTAATTCGGTCTGCCCGATGAACGACTTCCGGGAGTTTTCACCGATTGCGAACGACTATGATGCGGGCTGCCATACCTGAAGCAATTGAAAGTTTCACCAATTATCTCGTGCCGAACGACTAATCGTCGGAACAACATGGAATAACGATAAGGAGCAAACCTCATCTCGAAATCCTGTATCTCTTGTAACGTCAATGTGTTCGCAACGTCCAATAATTGTCTCATATTTTCTTCTCGGCGTCTAACATCCAACTCGGAATGCAAGAGTATCGTAGCGGCTCCGGTTGATCCGTCCAATGACAATGACGGTTGTTGGACCACGATCGTTGCAGCTTGCGTCGATCTCTTATTTCCACTCGCGTTCCCTCCTTTTCCGCATTACAAAGTAAACATCCGTTATCTTCGTTCCGGAATTTTCACTGCGATTTATCGACATCGGTACTTATAAAAAGATCTCCGAGCACCAAATATCGAGCATTTTCTCGTCTTTTAATTTTCAATTTTCACACGCAATTTTTAAAATTTTTCTTTCATTTCTTTCCCCCGGAGTTCGTTCATCCCCCTCCCAATTTTGCCGCGCCCCCCCTATCTTCGTCCACGTCTTTCCCTCTTTACGCTTTCGTATTTTCATACGCGATCCACGGAGGAGCCGATCGCACGAACGAACACGGAATTCATCTCATCATTCTTCCTCTATGCTTCACCTCATTTCCTTCCTTTCCTTTTCCTTCCCCTCCTCTCCCTCCTTTTTTCATTTACTTTGTTACATTCACCGTCATATCCCTTTCAATTCCTCTTCCTCTTCCTCCTCCTCCTCTAGAACCACCGCCACTATCGCCACTATCGCCACCATCACCACCACCGCCACCATCGCAACCACCACCACAACCACCACCACAACCACCACCATTGCCATCACCACCACCACCATCATCGCCACCACCACCACCACCGCAACCACCATACCACTACCATCGCCGCTGCTACCACCTCCACCTCCACCTTTACCTTCACCGTCACCTTCACCTTCACCTTCACCTTCACCTTCACCTTCACCTTCGCGCCTTCGCACCTTCGCACCTTCGCACCTTCACCTTCATTACCATCGGTTTCTCTTTCCATCGTTTCCGTTTCCGTTTCCAGTTCGTCGGTCCTCGCTATCGCATCTACTTTCTCCTCTATACTTCAATTTTCACCGGTGTACGCATCTTTATCCTGACCCGAAGGTAAACGAGTGATTATTGACGCGATATCATGGACGTTACATAAACCGTTGAACCGATTCGATCGAGAAAAGTGCGATGCCAGGAGAGTCTTTTTTTATAAGGTGTTAAGCTTCGAACATATACGCGTGCGTCTTTCAAGCAGAATTGCCGCCCACTGTGTGGCGGAACATCGGTATCGAATTCAATAACGCGATTCTTAAAGCTTTTCGTAACTAGGAAAATATTTCTCAACCATTGATCGTGATTTTCTATGAATATTTTGCAATACCTACAATATTTCCCTCGATTTCTTTTGCCTTTGCTTCCATTGCTTTTTCTCTTCCTTGGTCGCGCGGACTCCGTGTTTCGAAAGCTCCTATTACGTATTTTCAGGCAGCTCGATACTCGAACCGATTTGTTGGAGCGTAATGTGTAACGGGGACCATAATTCGAACGGGGACCGTAATTTCAAAATAAAAATTCTCGAATAGAATAGGGGAAAAGAAAAAAGAAAAAAGAAAAAAGAAAAAGGAAAAGAGAGAAAACTGTATTGTACGGGAAAAGGAATGTTTTTTAAAACAAGTCGAGCCGTCGAAAGGAAAACGACTTTTCCCGATAAAAGCGAAAAGCGAAAAGGGAAAAGCGAAAAGCGAAAAGAAAATAGTCGAATCAGGAAGCGAGAAACGGCGAATGAGGTTGCTCGAGAACAAGGGCGGCAATTCGATGGAAGTTGCAAGGGCAATCGAGGCGCTATCACCTATTTAATCGTAGCTAACCGTAGCAAAGTCTGCAAAACATGCGCTTTCGGATATCGTAGCATTCTATCTTTTCAAGCTTGGAAAAAATAGAGCGATGCAACGAAAGAGAGTCGTGTATGATGTCAATGCGCCGCGATATTTCTCCCCTCCTCGAGATATTTCGATATTTCGATATTTGCCGTGCTATTTCGTTTCGTTCCTTATTTTTTACACCGATTTAACGCGTATCCGTTGATCGCGCCTTTCCTATATCGAGAAATTCTACGAGTTACCAAATACGCGCTGCGACGATGAGCGAATATTTACAAAGCAAGGTACGCATGATGGCCGAGATATGGTAATAACTATAATTTTCTCCGACACGAACGATATCGTATTTCCTTGTTCGTTTATGATCACGAGAGAAAGGGAGGGGGATGCGCGAGTAGTGGGCGAAATGGCAAACGATAAGATAAACGAGGAATGGCAAAGAAACGTTGATAAAAAATGCAACGAATGAAAAGTGAATGGAGAGAAAATAAGATTGCCAGCGTGTCGTATACGGTTCGCCGATCGCGTATAAGAGAATGCTATAACAGCGTATGATAAGGAGCGGAAACGAAGGTGTAACCGAGAAATTTGGTTGGGCAAATTGGACAAGGCCAGCGCGAATCCGAAAGATCACCGAGCGATTTCGAGCAATCTAATCCAACGGTCGATACTCGTCGAGTGGTAAGAAGTAGAAAGTAGAAAAATCACTCGTAGCTGATTCTTAATCGTGCATTCGGTCCGGTGATTTCTCGGTTTCAGAATAAAGATCTCGAAGCACAACTCGAGCACAATCAACTTTATACCTATTGCGCAAAACGGGAAAAAGAGCCTGACCCATGAATGAATGGTTGAAACGAGGGGATGCGATTCTGAAAGAAAACAACACAATTGATATTCTTAACGAGAACTTTAGCTTTAAAACCTGTCTCTAGATCGTCCGCTCTTTCGTGTTTCGCTATTTATATTTTTATTTCTACTTGTTTGCACGCGAAACGAGTCGTGTTTTTTCCAATTTTCGCAATAATCAATTCTCACGGACGACTCGGCAATAAATCATCCACCTATCGAGATACGTACATACGTACGTATAGACGTACATATGGATAATACGCGATCTATACGGAATATAACGAACGGATAAAAATGATGGTTTATCGTTTACCTCGATCACGCTTCCACTTACCGGCAGCTTTTCCTCGAGACTTGTTGCCGCTGGTTCTACCACCACCATCGGACGTTTGACCGTTACTCGCACGAGATCCTATCAACGATAGATCCAAAGGATTCGTCGTAACGTTCACGTTCGGCTTTCCTTCTCCGCATTTCCTCTCCTTTCGTACCATGCTGTTTCCTCGATTCTCTCGATCCATATTTTCACGGGCTCTACCGACGATTAACGTCAACATCGGATTCAGACCGTCCATATCTGGTTGACCAGCGTCCACCGAACCTCTTACGGGCGTGCTGGAAAGAAGGGAGAAGAAAGCAGAGAAGAGTGAAAACCATGTTTCACCGCATTTCTATTCTATCTATTTCAATTTCTATTTCAATTTCTATTTCAATTTCTATTTCTAAATTCATCGAAAAAGAAACAAGATATACACATATACATACACGCTGTAGTTTAACTGTATGGTAAAATACATGTGTAGAAACCTGAAAAAGTCAGTGGCTCGGAGGTCTGGAAGAGGCGGCGTTCTTCCCGTCACGGATGCCTTGGTGACAGCCTCGTTGATAGCGGTACCATGAATTATAATAGGCATCGCATCGATCGGAGGAGCATCGGTTTCATCCAGAAGATTCGAAACGCTAGATGCCCTGACACTGAGGCAGGTAATAGGAATTTCCGATTTGAAAGCGGTGGTACCGGTGGATAACGTGGAGGAACCCGTTTTAAGTCCTTTCTCGTCTGTAACCGAATATTCGATGGACGAAGAGAAGGAAGGTGGCGGCGGAATCGGTGGCGATGACGGCGACAAACTTGGTAGTAGAATCGGCTCGGACGATGTTCCGGTCGACGACGCAGCTGCAGGTGGCGACATTTCCGACGGAATATCTATCAAATCGAAGCTGTCGTCCGGTTGTTCTCCATCAGTTGTCGTCACCTACGATCACGTACCTATATATCCTTTTCATCTACGACCGGATACTCGCTTTCGCGCGCGCATCGTGCGCGTGTATGCGCACGCACGTAAACGATACGCTTTAAATTCGATAATTATATACCATTGTAAGCATCGTATTGGCACTGTCGGTGCTAGTGTTGATCGTTGTTTCGGATGCAGTGCTCGAACCCATGACCACGACTTTCGGAACGGTGCGACAACTTCGACTTCCTCCAGCGGATTTGAAATGCAATCTTCGCAACGCAGAGGCAGCGTGAGACAACAAGTCGGTGTCGCGCGAATTCTCTGTTCCATTGTGACGATGCGTGGCATTCGAGACACGAGTTGTTTGTGACTGTGACTGTGACTGTGACTGTGACTGTGACTGCGACTGTGACTGTGACTGTGACTGTGACTGTGACTGTGACTGTGACTGTGACTGTGACTGTGACTGGGACTGCGACTGCGACTGCGACTGCGGCTGAGCCTCGGCCGTTGTCGAATCGGTACCAACATCGTTACTTCTCGAGTTGCCACCGTTTCTACGGTTTGACCCGCGGCCATCCACCAGACGTCCCTGTTTTCAATAATACCACGATAAACCCATAATTACTCTCACACCCACTCCTCTATCCCATACACACGCACATCTCTTTCTCGCGTTTCCACAATTTTACCAATCTCCATTTTCCATTTATCCATGCACCAATCCACTAGTTTCTCCATTTATACATACTCGAATGAAAACGCATGCATCGCATACAGTTCTTTTTATTATTCTACGAATCTTCGATACTCACGTGGTTTCTGTGTTCCGGGGTGGAGGGCGGATTCGGAGTGTTTGACAAAGAACCCCCTGTGGGGGTGCAATGCCGCAGTCGCGCCAGGGCCGTACGAAACCCCTCCGTCACGAGGCTCTTTTATTCGGTCTTTGCAGTGTCACTCTCTATCACCTTTCGACCGACGGTTTTCTGCCGACGCACTTCTTTCTCTCCCTTTCTCTCTCTCTCTCTCTCTCTCTCTTTCTCTCTCTCCCTCTCTCCCAACTCCCTCCCACCCTCACGCCCCCGCCGCTCGATCTCTCACTCTCCCTCTCCCTCGCCCTTTCTCTCTTACTGTTTCTTCTATACAATGTTCGTTAACTCTATTTCGTTTCCTTTTTCGCTTTTTTCTCGCTGCTGCACTTTATTTAGCTCTCCTTCGTTTCTTTTCTCATACCTCTCCCACTTTTCACTTTTCCTCCTTCTCCTCCTCCACCTCCTCCGCCACCTCCTCCACCTCCTCCACCACCGCCACCACCACCACCTCCACCTTTCGCTTCTACTATTTGACAACCGGTAACACACTTTTCGCGGTATACGTCACGCTCGATACCGAAACAATGCAAATTCGGACGTGTCCCAATGTTTACAACCGTCGATTTTATTTTATTTTATTACTTCCTTAACCTGGACCCCGAGAAAACACGAAAATACGATAACCGACATTCGGTATCCTCGCCAAACGTATTAAACAAACCTAATCGAGTTTCGCTCCGTAACTTTCATGCAGCTGCCTGATCCATATATGATCTCGATATTCGAATGCCTCGTCTTCATCCTGCTTCATCCATGTTCTTCTTTTCTACGACAATCTTCTTTCTTTGATCGATCATTGATTCTCAAATGTCGATGCTTCTTCGTCTGTAACGCGAAACGATAAGACGAATTTTTTACATTCCATTCGAATAATGGCAAAATCTCGCAGTACTCGCGAGTTTCGACACGTGACCAACGTAACGATGCTACGTCAAATCTGTTTGAACGTATGAAAAAGGTATATCAAAAAAAAAAAAAAAAAAAAAAAAAAAAAAAAAAAAAAAAAAAAAAAAAAACGCGAAAATAACCGAGTGAATAAAATAAAATTGTTTTCGATTGAACGTCAAAATTCCCGTTCGATTCGACTTTGTTGGCAAAAATGTTTCCTTTACAGATGTATATTATTATACCAGATATGGTACGTTTCCAGATCGATAATTAAACGAAACTTTTTATTTTATCGGACGATCGCGGCAAAGAACTTTTTCTGTGTTTCGGAAACGTCATCGAAATAAAAGAAATTCCTTTTCAAACGACCAACACCGATGTTTACTACTAGTTATGCGATACACGGAAAAACAAAGTTGGTATAATAAAAAGTAAAAAATGGAGGGACCAGGAAGACAACAGTGATAAATAAAGAAAAGTCGAGCATCAATCTTCTTCCTTCCACACATACACATACATATACACGCACGCACGCACATTCACTCTCTCTCTCTCTCTCTCTCTCTCTCTCTCTCTCTCTCTCTCTTTCTTGTTGCTATGTGTGTTGTACGTGTTCGTAATTCTTGATTAACGATACAGATTTTCACGATATAGAATCAGAATTTCATTGCACCTATCCTTTTTATTCGTCAAGTCGGTATATCGTGATATGCAGGACCGTAACACAATCATCTTCTTGACACGAGATCCACGCGTGTTGCAGACTTACGAAACTCGATTAAAATCGTGCGCTATGCACTGTTTAAAAATCAACTTTTCACTTGTCACAATCGAGTCTTGTCAGTTGTACGTGCATGAACGCATAACGCAGTCAATGATATAATAAGTAATGCAAATTTGACCGAGTAAACCGACTCGTTTAATCGTAAAAACGATAGGAAATAACATGCCAAAGAAAGTGCGCAAAGACTCAGGTGTGTATGAGACAACCTACGCGTAATAGTTCCAACGAAATACGATAATATCATCTATTTAGTCACTATAATTCACGACATTGATGATAACAAAATAAAGTTGCACCGATACCTGCTGCGTCCCTTCGAAAAAAAAATAGCACCTTCTACCTTCGCATTCCACGGATTACTGGCGTGTTAGTATGAGCTTAGGGAAAGGACACTAGCGCTTGCGCTTTTACTTCAAAGAGTGAAAACTGCTAAACTAGCAGCACCGTCGCAGCCGATCTGCACCATCTCCCCACTCGCTCTTTCCTTTCTCTCCTTCTCTCTTTTTTTATACCATTGCATCATATTCCTTTCTTCTTCAATTGCATTCCGTACTTTTATTCCTTCTTGTTTATATTTTCCGTCACGGCATTTTATCTCAGTTATTTGAATTATATTTTTCTATCATCGATATTAAATGGACAAATCAAAATCAACCAAAAGAAATTATTTTCGACTGATTGAAAATTTATAGCTTTAAGCAGATAATCACGATGATCATCGTCGTCATTCCTTTTCGAATCGCTGCAAACGCGTGAAAGCGAACGATTTTCAAAATATAAAAAGATAAAAGAAGATAGGAGGAAAAGAGGGAATGAAAAAGTGGTTGGTAAAGGCTTTCCAGATCGATTTACTTCCATTCCAGTTGCAATAGCAACGAAATATAGCGATTAGCGATAGCAAACATTCCCATTTAATCGATCAAGTATACACGGTTAACGTTTTCTAGCGAAATTATTTCATTGAAATTATCCTTATATCCTTGACATATCGAAAATGTTTTAGTCGCTAATGTCAATCCGATCGCCTAATCTCACGAGGTTTATACGCAACATCGAACGAGTTCCATCGAACAAAGTGTTGCCATATTCGTGACAAATTATTGAACCTCATAAATCTATACAACATCTGCGCAGATGCACCACCGTTTCCTACGTGTTACGAGCTAGTGCCGTTCACCTCGGTCACCTTTGCCCCACATTTTATCTTCTATCGTTCTACTTTTCAACTTTACATCTTCTGCATTCTTACCACATACATTCTCGCAAATAATTTACGCAAAATACGATGTTTTCTTTTAATCACAGAAACGCAGAGAGAGAGAGAGAGAGAGAGAGAGAGAGAGAGAGAGAGAGAGAGAGAGAGAGAGAGAGAGAGAGAGAGAGAGAGAGGGAGAGAGAGGGAGAGAGAGAAAGAGAGAGAGTGAGAGAGAGAGCAATGTGCAAATCGATGATACTCGCGCGGTCTCTGTAGCTGAACGATTTAATGCGATTTACACACACGCTCCCAACTTGACCCGAAGCGCACGCGAGTTGATCGACCGCTTTGTCAAAACACCAGGCACGTCTATCGATCCAAAGTTTCCACATGTGTTCGCGTACATTTGATTGCCACATTAGTGCTCATACGCACGACGTTTCTAACGAACGAATAACTTTAGTATAATAAGAAGAAATATAACGAACGAGATACCAGGTGGAAACAGAAGCAAGAGCATGAGAACCTCGTACAATGAAAAAGAAAAAAAGAAAGAAAGGAAGAAAAAAAAAAGGAAAAAGAAGAAAGAAAAAGAACATTTTATAATTACTCCTTTTCCGTCTTGTTTGTTCATCTTATGCAACCTGAAAAATCCCATTACCGATTATATTATTTTATAAATTGAAATAGAAGGCACATACAATGCTGCATATATGTACAAGCTTTCGTCCTAGTCATTTCGTAGAGACGATACATTTCTTCTATGGTAGTAATATAGAAACGATCGTTTGTACATTTATATAGATGTATGTACGTATACCCATGGTAAAATATGCATGCATCTTTCTATACAATAACTTCTGTACATATACGTGTATTTCCTCATATTCAAAATATAATAGTAAACGTTATACACTATGTATAGCGTAGATTGTAGTAGTTGTAGATCAGCGATTCTTACAAAACAAAAGCGCTGATACTCCATTTCGAATTACGAAATAACATCGAAATTCCCATTTTTCTTTACTTACTTTTTCATTTCTGACGGAAAACTGACAATTCCGACTGCGACATTAATAATTCATTGTATTATTTTCCGATCTTAACATTTTTCCCTATCGTCAATTTTTTTTCGCTTACAAAGGAACAATCAATTATATCAATATCTCGTACGATATCACCTTTGAATGCTGTCGCAATTACACATGTTTATCTCTTTTCTCTTTTTTACAACATTTATTATATAATCGATTCATTTTTAATAAAACACATTTGTTTTTATTACCACGGTGCTTGTAAGACGAGCACTGCGTGAGTCTTAGAGTTAACATATCTATATCTTGTATATTATTTTTGTCTTCGGACTCGCCTTCGCTGTCATTATTCTCATCGTTATCGTTATCGTTATCGTTATCTTCATCGTCATCGTCATCGTCGTTGTTGTTGCTGTGATATTACATTAGTAAATAAAATATTATGATACTACTTACAGCATACTTATTTATCGTTAATCTTTCCTTCGCGTGTATTCCAATACGTAAATACATTTACTCGATATACATGATGTAAAACAGCGCACGCGCATACGTACAACGTACCATCGATGATGAATTTAAAGTCTAGAGAATTAATTAATGATTATATAACTAATAATTAATTAAATCTAGACAATTTATTATATTACTTCTATCATTTCGTATACAATGAATTTTAACAAATGAATTACATTCCATTTTTAACGTAGCAGCCATTGCGATAATACGATTGCAGAAATTACCGGGTACATGAGGTCTAGATTTAATTTTAATTTATCCGATATTCGTTCTTTTAGCCACCGCTGCTCAACCCCAACACCACCACCACCACCACAACAACAACAACAACAACAATACAACAACAACAATAATAACAACAATAAGAATAATTCTCTTTCATTTATTATTATTCAGATGTATAAGTAATAAAGGGTATGATCGAGTTATCTATCATCGGGACATATTCAGATGCGATCGTAAAGCGGATCGAATAAAATCTAATGTTGGACGAGGCACACGGCTAAGTGCTTGTTTCTATTAAACTAGTACGGAACGTATCAGGAACTTGGTAATGTACAAATCAATTGCAGCTCCATCCCGGGAGTAAATAAATACGATAGAAGAATTTTAGATAGAGAAGTAAATAGAAAAATAGTGGTGTGAACGAGGGTCGAGCTGGGAACGATAGTTTTATGCGTATAAAAATAAGAATTTATCTCGATATTAAAATTTGTCTATCTTACGGATTAGAACCAGCGCATCGTCGTACACGAATATTTTAATTATATGAATTCCGGAACAGTCTCGATTGCTTATAAAATATATGTGTGTGGGCGCGCGCGTGCGTGCTGCGCATGTGTGTATTTGGGTTAGTTGTGTGCCAATGTATACGAGCATGTATGTTTTCCCAGGTGTATATGCCTGGTAATGGTGTGTACGTGTGTGCAAATGTTTATACTTTTCATATGCACACGCGTTTTCTCATGAATTCGGTATAATTGTGCTCTGTTTTAATGTATCAACTATAACAAATAATCGTGGATGCAACGAGACTAATAAATAGCCGTATAATTACATTACAAGGAAATCTGCTATTAATCCAAGAGAAATGATATTTTGATTAGGCACAATGCGTCCGTATTACTGAGAAAAAAGGAAAAGATAGGATATCGCACTTCTTTCCACTAAATTTTGATCGCAATTGCATCGGTAACCATTAAATACTCGAAATGGTACACTGTTGCGGCGTATTTGAAACGTATAAATCAAGCGTCCTTCTTCCACCGTGATTCTTTCCTTTCCGCCAAAGACTTATACTTTTTGTAATAGACGAAAATGATTGGAATACGGTAGCTAGTCATTTTTAAGATGACGCTCGATAATAAAACGCGATTGTGTAAGTGGAAAACTCTATACCCTTTAAAAACAGTCTTTATACAGTGCTTATATTATTATATACAAACTGTAGCTGGTTAAGAGGTAAAAAGTATTCTCTTATCGTAATTGTTACGCGTTAAATTAATCAAATTCGCAGATATAGGGTTATATCGAATTTGTTCGCAATTAATCGAACATGGTCTTCGCTCGTTATACCCTGCTTATATGTACAAAAAAGCTGCGGGTGCACAGTAATTAGTCCATTGACAATATACTGCATGCTTTACAAATCTCGGTTTCGTAAAAAACGACCAAAGTATCGTTGTTTTCGTAATCTTAAATCGAAATTAATACCTGCACGGTTTCTCAACGCGCGAGCGAACCTTTTGTTTATTCTTCAACATACGTTTATATAAAAAATACAAGTGCAAATATATAGATTTACAGGATGTAAATAGATGTCATTGGGCAAAAATCTCGACCATTCTATGAAACGGACGGGTGTAAGACCTAAAATTTAAAATCTAAGTACATCCCCACTTACATATGTCAGACTGAATCAATAGTTATAGGATTGTAGAAAGTTTGACTAACACAGTAATTCGTGTTTTCTTCAGTTTCGCGAAAAGGGTAAATGAAGGAGAGAAGAAAAGACAAAAAAAAGAGAGAGGAAAGAAAAGAAAGAAGAAAAGACGAACAAAAAGAAAAGGATCACCGACTGTCCAATCGAAGATCATGAAATGTGAAAGAAATACAAACGAACTCCTGATAGATTACCAGTACTGTTGATTCAAGTCAATTAAGTTAAACTACTCACTCTTGGTCTTGATCCATACAAAAATAAAACGAGATCAAAGGGGTTTGTTGGCCGTTCTCTCGGTATGTGTTGGCATTCAGAAAAAAAAAGAATGGAAAATCGGCTTTACTAGAAGCATCGACTTCAGTTTACGTAGTATTGGCATATCACCTCAGTAAAAATATATACGCAATACAATTTCCCATGATTGCGATAAATAAAATTCTTGACTTGGAAAAAAGTGACGCTAAACTGGAATATGCTTTTTCCATGTCTTCGCAAACTCCTGAAATAACAACATGATTAGTTTACAGAGTACACGATAATTACTTGATTGTCTGTTGGAAAGGGTGAAAAAAATTCAAAAAGAAATGATGAAAAATTGAAGAAATAGATAGTTAGATAGATAGAAGGAAAGGACAACGGCGGGGAGGGGAAGGGGGAGGGGGCAATTTCAAATACCTTGATTAACAAGTGTGTAGGATCGTTCGTCTTCAATTTGTTCACTCCGACAGACACGATCCAATTTGGCGAACCAAAGTTCCTGTTCAGGAAGTTTCGTTTTAAGCGTTTTTCCGACTATAGCTGATTTCTGTATACTACTGTCAAGTCGCATAGAAAAACAAAATGTTTGTCCGAAACTTGAAGAAGCTTGGTTCGTTTTTAACGATACAATCGTGTACCAGGTATTTTTTTCTTGCCAACTGCCATGACAATAATACGCTACAACAATAATAACAGCACTGATTGTGCATATCTTCTTCATAAGAATTATGAGAATAGAAAAGTGTGCGTATGACAGTGCTACAACCAAATAGATTTAATACTTACTTGCTTCTTCCGTGTCACATGTTTTTCCAATAACAATTTCAGTCTCATCCGATGAAGCACAACTTATTTGAACACTAGTACTCTTGCAATCATCTCTTTGTTGCTCTTGTTGCTGTTGATGCTGTTCTCCACCACGTTGATGATGATGATGGTGATGAAGGTGATGTTGTTGTTGATGTTGACGTTGCAGCTCGTGTGATTCCTTTTGGGACATATCGTCCTGCCACGTCCTTCTTTTAGTTATTCTAGAAGAGCGTCTTTCGCTACGACGCTGTCGTTGAAGTGAAGTACTTGATACACTAAACGGTGCGAATCCCAGAACAACGTATCGCCCAGGATTAGGACACTTTCTCTGGCGTAACGAAGAGCCTACACAGTAAGAAATCGACTTACAATAATACAGATACGTTACCTCTATAATTATACAATTGAAATTTTAAATTTTACTAGTTATCAACTTACTTATTAAAGTAGTATACGCCATTGTAGACGTATCTGTGAGAGAACATGCCTCATCTGGCATAATAGTCTTTTGATCTACAAACCATTGATATTCAAGATAATAAAAGAAAACAGTTCAAGAATTCGAAATTCGAAACATCAAATTATACTTACTCGATTGCTGTAGCTCTATAATATGATGATCCCTTTTGTAAAATATCATGCAAACATAGCCAATATCACTGTAAGAATAGTGTTTTTAATATACTACGTTTCCACAATCTGTAATGAATTATAATTATTATTAAGTATAATTGCTATTTACCACCCGCTAGTAAAGTGAGCGATCAACTTTGTTTTGTGTCCCTGTGTATTTTCTGACACATGTAATTTCTCTAGACTGTGGCAAATAATCTTTTCCTCGTGAAACGTATCTCCATCGGCGTTTTGTACTTTAACTTTGAGCGTTGCATTTTTATTTGTAAAATGATAAACTTTAGTACCATCTAAGGAATGCCAGTCATGATGTTCAGTAATCCACGAAGGATATCTGCATCGGTTGTGCTCCTTGTCGACTGTAAATAATACGAAACGTTTAACTGCAAGAACAGTAATATATAAAATCAGTATCTTTTGTACCTTTTGTAAGCTTTATAGTTGGTGATCCCTCAGAAACAGTAGTTAGGCCATTACAATTTGGCTCACCAGACTGAGCAAGTAAGTAAACCACTTTCCCCTGATGATGCGTTTTCTCTTCGTATAGAAAACATCTGTTTAAAAGGAGGAATATCGAGATTCAATAGCACAGATACAAATGGCCCAGACTCAGTTGCATACACGCACGCACACCCACACGTGCATACACACACCTATATGTTTTTTCAGCACCCGAGATGCTCCTTCCTGTTAATGTTCCTATGAGATACTTGTTACGACCATCGTTCCATATCGCAAGACATTGTAATTCTTCCGCTGAAATATGAAAATGCATCCACAATAGGAATAAACATGTGAAAACGTATCCTCAAAATTCATAAGCGATAACGACAATAATATTCGATTGAGCTTACTGTTACTCTCGCTCCGTTTGATATCCGGGCAAGCTTGATACTTGAGAAGTAATTTACTTTCGTCAGTACATTTTTCACCAAGACTAATTGGTGCAGCACATTCACCAAAACCCTTGTCATAGGTAAACGTAAACGAGGACCCACTAAAGGGGCAGGGTATTGGTTTAGAATTTACACGAAACATTGAATATAAAGTGTCGTCGGACTTGATGCTCGTACACATTTCATCCAAAGTGGCTTGTTGCACATGGCAGTATCCTGATCACAGAGAAAGATATAGATGTTGGGAACTAACGTACCTTGCAAATCAGCCATGAGAGAAAAGAAAGTTCAACCAACCTTCACGAAATTGAATCACATTCTCGTGTCGATCGTTAACAATTATACAATGATAGCAATTATTATCGCTGAAATGTCATCGTAAAAATTAATATCGTGTATCATATTAATCTTCCCGTTATTACTCATTTTCAAGATTGTTTCTAAATACTTACTAAACGATGTACGAGTGTTCTGTTCGTTTCACGCACGTCCTCTCACCTAGAACCGTTGCATTTACGGTAATTGATACCGATTGTCCATGTTGATACCATTCTCCGGTCCACGCAGCTGGAAACTCGCAAGATCCTAAAATAATTTTATAAACTATTGCACTTCCTTTGTTGTTTAAACAATGTCGTTTTGATCGCGGACTTTATTAGAAATGTTCTATCTCGTTCAAAGATGAGCATTCTAACATTGCATATCTAAATTAAACAGAGGTCAAGTTGTTTAAGTTAGTAAACAATGATGATTTCTGTCTTCCAATGATATATGTACGTATGCATGTACGTTCGACAATTATTACCCCCCTGTTCTGTCAAATATGTATTCTATTATACTATATATTAAAATAACGGAAGGAAAAATATGTACTTTAAAACATTTCGTGAGGGATAGGTGAAAAATGAAAATCAATCATCTCTTACATGTACACGAGCATATCTAGTCCACGAGGAACAAAACACCAATTACTATTTTAGGTTATCCGACATGACACGATATTTGTTTATAATTTCGACTGCACCGAAACGCATTATGTATATGATTCATTATAAACAGTTCTATGCGTATACTTACCATTTGCAGATGGTATGTCACCCAGAGATAACAGCAACAGTATTAACATTGTTGCCGAACGGCAAAGACGTCGTTCTTGATGTAAACAGAAAGATTCTCGCGTCCTGAAATACACAAAACAATCAGACATTGTAACCAATTTTCGGTAATACTTGAATAATACTCTCATTATTATAATTTCCCATATGACCATTATTACGATATATTTTTAATCATTTCCGTTTATTCATACACGAGGAAAGCATTTTGCTTTATGTCTGATCTAAATCGAGTTTTGCTTTATTAATACGAAATAAGAATGCTATAATGCTAATAGTGCTGCATGAGCAATAAACGTTGGTTATGTTTACTGATTTTAAAATATCGATGCTATTTTTATTGTAAAATCACCGCTTTGTCGTATGCCAATTTGAGTGTATCGCCTGTTTTCCGAAGTACGAGCATAAACCATAATTATAAAATAAACAAAGAAAAATATTCATTATGGTTGTGCGGTAACAGTAAAATGACGTGAGAAAAGTGTATGACGGAACTGAGAAAAACGTTTACGGAGGAAACCTTCGAGAAAGATGCATTATTTAGCGAAGTACACGTGTCCCGATCGGTTTCGTTCAACGTGTTCTCCCTTTACCGCGAACCTCGTGTATACCACATCATGCCCTATCTCGTTCGAGCGATGCGCGGATAGGCGCGGATCTGCGCACTGCAACAACCCTAAACGTCAAATTTCTCTCCCCTTTACTAGATGTCTCATTGTTTCTCAGATATAACAAACGAATCACATTTCTTCTAACTTCTATACGGTCCTTTGAATTCCTATTCACACTACGCATACAAAATATATATCTCAGTTTTCCCAAGTGTTTTATAATTAATACAATTCACCAATTATCAACGTTAAAATCAAATCTATTTGTCATTGACTATTATAAATCATAATAATTGAAATTTTTGTTTCACGTGATTCAATTCGGAATTGTTACCTCTCGTTGTCATCGATGTTATTGGGAAGGAACACTAACCTTTGTATGTTCGGCATCGCAAATGCGAAGATGATGAGAAAAGCGAATACGAGGATTCAGAAAATATCACATAATGTTCCGGAATTCAGATTCGATGATTAGATATAGACGAAAATTTTCCATAAAGCAAATCGTATATATTTTAGAATAACTTTGGCAGATAATCGTATAACATCGCTAAATAATTAACGATTACGGAACTTTATCACTATGTAAACAATTTTTAGCAGAATAACAAAAAAAGAGACAAAGGATTTATATATGCATGTAGAATGCGAAATGCTGCCTTTCTTAGTTCTTATAAACCTTCTCTTTTTCACAACAATTAACTAGCTAATTAAATCCACGATGAAAGAGATGCGTTAAACGCGATCGAGTTGTCTATCAACGGAGTATTTCTTGCTGATTCTACCATGAAGGAACATACTAATGTCTTTTCTAGCACTATCACTACCACCATTATTACCGTAGGTAGAAAACCATCACCGGTTTAAAGAAAACGAAACATCGAAGACTCGGTTTTCTTCTTTAAAATGTATCACACGATTTCTAAACTCTTTTGTCGAATTTTTGATTTTACACAAGTAAACAAGAAAATAAATTAAAATCTAAAACATGGAATATGTTTCTTATTGTTTCAAGCTTTCGAATTAGTTTACACTGACAAAAAAATTCTATGTTCACTATTGTGCGCCGATTTCATTCTACAAGTCTGTTTGTTCTCTTATACATTTATTCACTTCTAGAAACAATGGCGACGACCTATGACCAGCGAGCGAAACGCCGCTCCAACTATTCCTACGGTACGATACTACACTGTAGAAACCCAGCATGCACTGCTGCATGTATAGACTGCTCTCCTATGTGTATCACGGATCAGTCTGTACGATACTAAAATTTTAGTGCCTTTCTGTATTGCACTCTTTGTCCTTTTCCTTCCTCTCATTCTTTCTCCTTTTCTCCTTTCTCTTTATTCTTTCCCTGTGCCTTTGCTTTCCCTTTTCCGTTTTCGTTTTCGTTTCGTTTTTATTTCGATACTAATTACAAAACGGCATCTGTTTATCGTTCACTCTCAGTTATGCATTCTGCTCGACTAAACTAGAGTAATTAAAGCAGATACATCGGTTATCAAACTGCCAAGATGACCGTACAACAAGTATTATTTGTTAATGAAACAATAATTGCAACTGGTAGTAATCTGTACGTAAAACTAACGATGTCGTGTTTTTGAATGCTAGGTACAAATCTAAAAATATCCAAAACGTATCACTATATTTGTACGAAACATATCACTAGCCTGGTTAGTAGACTAGGAACTTTTATCGATGATTCTTGTACCAACATAAAAGAAGAACGCGTGAAAGAACTAACGCTACACGCGACTGAAGGCAAAACGATCGCACAGTTTGTTTCCTTTGTAGTCCATGTTTCTTTAGTTCGTTCAATTTTATTTTGTGCTCGGATAAATGTATTTCCTATAAAAATGTCTGACGATTACGAGTGGTGAAAAACGTTCAGTTTATTTGTTATACAAGAATCTCGTGTAGGTATTTAATTGTTATAACGAGTATCGAGGAAAAACGAAAGTTTTAAAACATACATACATATGTACTTTTGTAAAATATACAGTAAGATCGAGAAAAACGATATAATTTATTGTTTTACAAATCCAATTCGTACTTTTCTCATGTATCATTATAGTATTTCACGATCTTTTACGTTCGTTCATTATTCAACTAATCTTTTAACTTACATATTTCATTCTACAACAAAGATATTGATTGATTAGCAAGTTCAACCATATTTTGTCAGTTTTAATCTATGTATCACCTTTAAATTACATTTTTTTTTACGCATGTGTACACTTGTTTATACAGGGTGAGACAAATAAAACGCTACAAGTTATCTTCTCCGATATCGCTACAAACACCGAGTCCAGTATCTTCTTTAAATTAGATGACGGTTCGACCGTCGATACTAATGCAGTAGCTACAAGTAAGTAGCTATCAAAAATTCAATAAAAGAATAAAACGGAGTATTCTACATTGTCTCTTTAACTGTCGATATAAAAGGAATGCGTTGCACATCGAATGACTGATTCATCGGTTTTATTTAATTTAAAAGAAGAAGAAAAAGAAAGAGATCGAAATCAGCATTTGAAATAATCTTGAGGAAAACAGATCTTTAACTGTGATTTGTGAAATTATCTTAGTGTTTCTTTCTAATGTAATTTATAATGTTCTAAATTATTATTGAAACGATAAACGTGTTATCATACATAAACGTGTAACAAAAATAATAATTTGTGCAATTATTCGTAATCAAAGGTGATAATGAATTTTCAAAGATTCGTAAAATTATCATATTCTAATGCTAGTAACAGTATCCAGTTTAGAATATGTACGTACGTTCAATAAAAGTTGTACTGTGATGCGATTTCGGTGTAAATTTTACTAAAATTTATCCTTTCTTCGTTTTCATAAATTTCCTCGTTTCTCCCTTTCCAAGTGATTTTCACTTTTTCTCGGGTTTGAGTGAGTAATGCCAATAACGACAATAATAACGAAGAACTCAATCATGTTACTTTACATATGTATGAACATGGAAATGTTCGTATCGCTTTGAAAATTTTACGACATATAGATATAATTTCTATCCTTTTTTAATAATGTTTTCGAATCTCTCATCAGCGTCATCAGCACGTTTTCGTCATCGGGAAAAGTCATAGTCTATCCGAAGAAATTTAACGAAAGAAATACACGCATATGCACGCGCGCGAATCATTTGTCGATCAAGCCAGGCTGTAATAAAATTAATGAGAAGACAAAGAAATAGGCAACTAGTGGTACGAAAATGTATCGTTTTGAAAGTTAAGAAGACAATGTAGGTCACAGAAAGCTCTTGAGCGCAAGTCCGTCGCAAAGTAAACGCAACTTTTCGATCGACAATGGTCGTTTCGTAAAATACGTCGGCAGATACATACTACAAACATAGGTCGACGGACGCAACGTCTAGAACGTTGCACGTGTGCAAATGTTACCCAAAATATTCTTCGTCGGGGTATGTTTTCGTCAAATGTGAACTCGAAAATTTATCATTTAATCGTTCATACGCAAACATACAAATATTGCATTCATTCTTTTTGAATCTAAATACCGTATCATCAATTCAAACTAGTGCAAATATATTTGAGTAGATCTATAAAACGTGAATCGTTATTTATTCCGTATTCTATTTACTGTATATCTCGTTTCACATTTGCTTCGATCTAGGATTAAATTAATTAAAATATGTTATATAAGAATTATACAAGAATATAATCAGAATCGTGACAAATATTTTTATTATTCACACTACCATGAATCGCACACAGAGGATCGATTTCATTTTGAAAATAATGTTGAAAAATAGAGTTGCAAAACTATTTCTGCAAGTTAAAAGTGACATGACCGTTATGTACTAGCATGAATTCGTCACACCTATCGTAAATATCGTAATATCGTAAATTATCACGTTCTTTTTCTCATCGACATACATATATATCTGATAAAATTAATAAATAACTACGCAAGTATATAAGCTGTGTGTATATAAGCTTACTACGTAATTTACAAAAATGCTGCTTCTACATTCTAGTAAATGCATCGCAATGTCTTTCTTCGCTTGGAAAGGAAGCAATCGTTCCGAAAATACCGAACACGCTGGACGAAACTTACAAGACGGTCTCTTTCAAATTGCATCTCAAGCTTGTCACATTTTAGTACAAGTAAGTTTGATAAAATTAAGAAACTTTCACCGGTTTCGTAAATTCCATTACATTCGCCGTTTATTCACTTCGTATTTATATTTTTCGTTTATTTATTTATTTATTCGTTGTATTTTCGATCATCGGTAACAAATCAATAACAAATCGTGTGTACGTGTGTTTTATAAAAATTTTACTGATCGTATGAAATTTGATCCGAAAGGTGAACAACACGCACAATGTTTCTTATGGTGGAAACAATAATGTACGGAATATCGCATATTCCAAATGTTCTGGCAGCGATGACGATTCGATACATCTCGCAGCTTCTTCCACGAGTAAAGGAACTACTTCCACTACTGTCAAGTCTTATACAAAGTACAGAAAAGAGCGAGACAAAGATCAGGATGTAGTCGTTCTATTGCCACATCGGAAGAGCAGAACACCTTTTGTTAAGCAAAAATTATCCGTATGTACACTTACGTAAGGATTACATTTTCCTTACATTCCAAATGAATTTTATTCTCTCTATAAAAAAGAAATGTTAATTTTACTTATTACAGACAGTCTCTGAGAATGCCAGATTAGAATTAAATCCGTCGAAATATATCGGCGTCGGTGGCAGCAGTGGCGGTCCCACTACCGGTGGAGTGAACAGTAACAGCAATGTTTCAGACGACGATTTCGAATTATGGGATCATTCCGGTTTTATGCTGAGAAGCGATGTAGATGACCCAATGACGAATGGAAAGTTAGTGTTTACTTAAAATCTTATTTACGAAAAATCGTTATGCTAATGAAACGTATGAAGGGTAATCGTTTGGAAGGGAAGTGATTAATTATTCGTCTTACATCTTTTTGTTACCGGAACAGATGGGGTGGTGCACAAGGATGGTGTAGACCAAGTTGTATTCCTATTACGGTTATATTGATTTTGATCGTGTTGGTTGTTTTATTGCCGTTGCTAGATCACGCAGCGGACAAATACACGGCGAGTGATATGAATTTCGGTTTCGATTCGAGTTGTATGAACGGTTGTCATTTATCTATCGTGGAGACTCTGCCGGTCGGCATGGATTACGTCAATAACAGCATTTTCCTCGATAACACTTACAATTCCTGGGTCAAATTGATTTCGTTGGCACGGGAAAGGATAGAAATAGCATCGTTTTATTGGACTATGAGGAGAGAGGATGTATATCCAGATGATACCGCGAAACAGGTAACTCTATGAGAAATACATAAGAAAAGCTTGGATCGTTTGATACGAATTTGTATTTTTGTTTCTTTAGGGAGAAGAAGTTTTTCGATTGCTTCTGCAAGCAGGCAAAGATCGAAATATTTTGTTAAAAATAACGCAAAACATGCCGTCGCAAGTTAGTCCGAATATCGATACAGAAATCTTGACGAAAAAGGCAAACGCAAAGGTAACGCCGCTTTATAAAGAGAAATGCAAAAAATAGGCATGTGCTTACGCACGAATGCACGCACGCACGCACGCAGGCACGCACGCAGAGTAGCATTGTTAATGTTCGAAAGTATTTAGCACGTTTAATGCCGTGTCGATCACTGGTGATCGACATTTTCTCAGTAACCATCACCCGTTGGTCACTCGTAACCATTGTTATCAGACTAATAGCTTGAAATAAAAGATGCATAAATGAACGCGTAAATATATATGTTTTTCATTTTTTGAAATTAACGCGATTACTGTCATGTGGTTCACCGACGATTAACGATGCTGAAATTAATTATATCGCCTTAAAACAAATAAATAATCATATTCGCAAAACTTTCAGCATTTGTTTTAATGTTACGATGTTACGATGTGAAAAATATACTATAAAACGCCTTAACGATTCAGTTTGTAAAAACTACACGATACTATACGTATCGTATATATTGCGCAGTGTCAATATGCTGCAAACAACTCGGTCGATAATTACGATTCATTTAAAAAGGAAACTTAATTAAACTTTGGGTAGGTTAAAAGCTTAAACTTTGCGAGACTACTCGGAGAAGGAGTACTTCACACGAAATTGTGGCTCGTCGACAGAACGCACATATATATTGGTTCAGCGAATATGGATTGGCGATCGCTCTCACAAGTGAAAGAGCTTGGATTAGTCGCACTAAATTGCAGTTGTCTAGCAAACGATTATGCCAAGATTTTCGATGTAAGTTCTTATCTGATAATTCGCATGCATATACAGGTATTATAAGAATTAAAGCAATTTTTCGTAATCTCATAGGTTTACTGGACAGTAGGCGATGATGGTAAAATACCATCCGTTTGGCCGGACTCTCTAAATACAAGAATCAATTCAAAGAATCCAATGAATTTTACATTTATGAACAATAAATATAAAACGTTTGTTGCGGTAAGTGTTATATTTTTTTTATGAAAATACCACATTTCGGTGTATAGAAATTTAGTATAGGTGTATAGAATGTACAGAAGTCATAGGAATTGTTCATTATGCGTTTCAGAGTTCACCACCACCATTCTCGCCAAAGGGTAGAACCAATGACGTAGATGCTATCCTGTATTGTATCGAAAGGGCAGAGAAATTTATTTATATCGCGGTAATGGATTACTTCCCATTGAGTATATACACAGCCAAAATCAAGTACATATTCAGTTAATTTTTCTACCTGTCCATTTTTAATCTGTTTATATTAATATACACGTATACACAGATTAGCATATGTATTATATGTGTCGAAGAATGTCTGTGTATAGCTTACCGTGTATAGGCTTACCTGTTTGTTTCGCGTATTTAACATTCGATTTTATCATATGATTTAGATATTGGCCAATTATAGATGACGCACTGAGAACCGCAGCTATCGAACGTAAAATACATATACGTTTATTGATATCGTCGTGGAAGCATTCGAGGAAGTCAGAGATTCCTTTTTTGAAATCACTTACAGAATTGACAAATAGTTACGCGGGTGTTAAAATCGAAGTGGTCAGTTTTTAACCATATTTATTCTTTCTATGATTTCATTGGATACATATACACATGACATTGTACTTGGGTTAATTTTCCTTTCCAGAGAAGATTCGTTGTCCCTACCAATTCTGATTTCGACAAAATACCGTTCGCACGGGTAAATCACAATAAATACATGGTGACAGATGTAACAGCGTATATAGGAACAAGCAATTGGTCGGGCGACTATTTTACGAATACTGCAGGCAATTGTCTCTTTCATTTTACTTTTTTTTTTTTTTTTTTTTTTTTTTTTTTTTTTTTTTTTTTTTTTTTTTTTTTTTTTTTTTTTTCATTCTGACCTACTTTTGCGATTAATAAAGGGGGAAAATATGTGAAATCCGTTATTGATTTGTTAGGCGTAGGTATGGTACTCGAGGCTATCGGCGATCATACTTCGGACAATCTCAGGCAACAATTGGAAAATATTTTTCATCGTGACTGGTATTCCGAATATTCTTATGCTTTGAACGGAAGTTTGCCATTTGTGGAACGATCGACAAATACTATCGAAGATGACTACTATCTACGATCGTCACGTTATATATTAGCGTGACAACGTCAACGATTTCATTAACGGGGCTATACGTGTTCTACGAGAAAAATGAAAATCGTTCCCCGTCGTTTAACATTTGGAGACAAACATCTTAAATGTCACGTCTCTCGTCACAGATAAAATTAAATTCTTTTCTTCTTCTTTTTTCCTTTTCGTTTGTTTTTTTCTTTACAAAGCACATTCTTACGGTTATCCATACTCAGCAAATATCGACTTGGAGCTGACGTTTTGTTTGTTCCCTGTACACTGCATACACGCACATATAAAAAACATATTCTTCGTCCATCATTTTTATCATCTCCTTTTTGGTATTATTTCTTTCAAAATATGTAAACGGACGTGCTTACACGTATAGACGCGTGCTCTTTCTCCTTCTCCCCCCCCCCTTCCCCGCCCTTTCTCTCACCCACCATCCATCCATCCATCCATCCATCCATCCATCCATCCATCCATCCATCCATCCATCCATCCATCCATCCATCCATCCATCCATCCATCCATCCATCCATCCATCCATCCATCCATCCATCCATCCATCCATCCATCAGTGAGAAACGTATATACCTGAAATCTTAAACCTATAGAAATAGTCTTACGTAACGAACATTTGTGTGCCTTGCTTAAAGTGACCTTGCGAATATCTTCTATGAAAAGTTATTTCAATACGAGAACCCGATGTTCCGTCCGAGAGAACAAATATGGAAAAAAATATGCATTAGTAACGTTATATATTCTGCATCCTATTATCGATATAAATTATAGAATGAATTGTAATTATGCGAATCACTGACGTATCTGATTATAAATATGTTGTTTCTAATGTTGTTGAAACGTTCAAAGAGCGTTCGTGTGAACGTTCAGAAAAAGCAGTCTGATAATGGCGACAAAAAGCGTCGCTTTTCCTCAGCTACTTTCGAATTAAACACTATAAATTATATGCTTAAAGAGCATATTAATTTGTTTATCTATCGCGAAAGAAGACGCGCCGGTAACGCACAATATTGTAATATTCGCGACGATACAACTCGTTATATCGTTATATCTATTTGTTGTTTATCTATCGTAGAATTTCAGCGTTCTACGATTCGCTAAACGCAAATTTTTTTTTTTATCTTCGTATCTTTTCTATATACATATATTTTGCTTTATACTTCCATTCTATACATTTTTGTACAAACAACGAAAACAGACTGTATATATGCATTCTGGATATGCGTGTATGCGTGTATGTATATTATGAATTATGAATTATTTATATTATGAAGCAGTGTTTCTTATAGGAGGTTAATTTTTCTCGATTTTAATAAGCCAATTATGATAGCGTACGTCACACTTAAGAAAAAAGCAAACAATTACGATTGATTAGTAATCATAAGAGATTTCTGATGCGATTCACTTTTCATCGTCGCCATCTATTTCATTGAAATCTTACGTAAAATATATGTCAACTAGGATACGATATATTTAGAAATAGCCCGAAATTGTGCAAGTATATCGAAAAGAAAACGTGTACGTATATAACGTTGTAACGGTGTTAGATCGGTGAAATATTTTATTATGTATTCGTTTCGAATTTTGCAACATAAGAATTCTGCGATACTCGTACAAATCGTTAACTCACGATTAATTCACATTTGATCGATAATCAATTGTCAAATTATTTTTGTCGAATTTTATGAAGATATACGAACCTCGTATTTAAGAACATTGCCTCAAATGCTTGAAATATTTAAGATATCCTCTTTCAACCTGTCTTCCTTTTCTGCTCTCGCCTCGTTCTCTCTCTCTCTCTCTCTCTCTCTCTCTCTCTCTCTCTCTCTCTCTCTCTACCCTCCCTCCCTTTCTTTCTTCTTGCTTGCCTTTTCCTTTTATCGATTTTTCGCTAACAAATGCATGGTCTGGTGATTAAGGTTCATTGGTTTATCCAGTGTTAAATTTTACCATTTACAATGTCGAGAAATCAGCTGCGTTAAATTGTCGAAATACGTATTAAAAGCGTGGAAATGCACGTAACGAGTAGCGGAAAGGTGCATGCGTACTTAGATAAGTAGGTAGACAAGGGGATTAAACCAAGGATGAAAAGATCGGGGATGGAAATAGAAAGAAACGCGTTAAATAGCCTGGAAGGAATAGAAAAATGGGAAAGAGAAATGAAAGACGAAATAATACAACGGGAAAGAGGTGGTTGACTGGGGGTCGAGAGCGACTGAACAATCAGGAAGGGGAAGGAGAGTTTAAAGGGTAAAGAGAAGGGGCAGTGAAGGAAACAGAGTAGAAGGAGAAAAAAGGAAAAGGGAGACCGGCGACGGTACGAGTGACAATTGTGAGTTGTATCGCTTGCAAAAGACTCGTGGTGGCATAAGAGGAGGATCGGTAGATTGGCGCGAGGAGAAAGTTTGCAAGGTATATGAAGCGTTTGTTTGTTCTTCCGCTTGTACGTTGGTACGCACGTTAGTTGGTTAGTTTGTTCGTACTTTCGTCCGTTTTTACAACCCGTTGCATTTGTTCGGTCGGTGATTTCTTTATTACGTTAAAAGTGTCGCGTAAAGGTTGATTTCACAAATCGGAGCAACGGATGAGGTCAGTGAAATTGTGCAAGGATTATCCGAATTCGATAGAACGCGATCCGAAATCGCGACGAATGTACGATACAAAGGTATTCTTCAGTGTTGATCGCATATTTAGAACGATATAATATATATATCGAATAATTTACATCTGGTTCAAATTAGCGGCAACGTTAGCCGCGTTTTAAACGCAGGCAGAACATAGTAGTATGAAATTGAAAGAGCAATGAAAGTGAAAGCTTTCTTTTCAATGTTTCTTAACGTAGTTACGTAGTCTCTGTTTCAAACAGTGGTCGGATCAACTTTTACATAATTACAATGTAAAGCGTTGTTTAAAGATTATAGGAGAAAAGGGCGGTAGGGAGGATAAACCGTGGGTGGGGTGCAACGGAAGGGTGAAACTCGCGTGTACGTAGCATAGGATATACGTAGCAACGAGGGAATTAATATTTTCCAATCTATATCGATTTGGATCGTGGACTTTTTTCGTCGGACAAGGAGAGCGCGAATTGGCCGTACAAGTTAAAAGTCGTGTCAAGCATAGAAGCTGGAACGAAAGGTCGAAATGCGTTCATTTCACAAGCATGTATATATAAGTATATAGATGGAAAGTGAAATTCGATGTGTAGGATGATGATTGCGAGGATACTGGTGACGTAAATTTGGTAAAAAAACACTACCGCAGACCGGTCTGAGATTTTTCAACAGTGCGAAACCCCGTGATTCGAAATTCTTCGCGTCGAACAGAATATTTAATCAGGAGGATACCGTTACCTTGTAAAGCGTACTCGTGCAGCATCCGAACCGTTACCTCGTACCGAGTTGTACAAATCGGACTTTGGATTTATTGTCGTCGTTGAGTTTGAGCTTTTTTTTTTTCGTCCCCGTCATTTCTATCCCGTTTCATAGCCATGCACGGTTGACGATGCGAAATACGAGACGACACAGCGGTTTATCGAGAATTCGGGTAATCGGAATTCAGCAAATCGATTAGGCGAGTTTATCCCTTGCTTAATTGTCTTTGATGATTCACGGAAGGAACCGCTTATATCGAATCAACCAATGGAACGGAAAAGGAAGCGGCGATAGTGTTTGCGAATAAACGTACAAGGAGCGATGGGTATCGAAAAGCGTACGAAAAGCGTAATAGAGAAGGGCGTGGGTTATAGTGGAGATTCGAGTAGAGAGATGGAGCAAAAGAATTTTCGGGTTGCAGTACGAACTTTTTGGCTAGTCCCTTAAAAGGCATAAGAAATACGATTCTTCCGAATACTCGATAAGGAAAAAAGACATGGTCATTTCTCATGGTTATTTCGACGTTTGCTGGCTTTCCTATCAAGTGCAAGTTGAAAGGAAGCAAAGAAAGGCACGGACGAAATGACAAGTATCGCTATAACAAAATTTCCACTATTCCTCTTTAATGTACACGTATATATTCGAATATGTATATATCTATATTATATAAAAATCAACACACACACACACACACACACACACACACGCGCGCGCGCGCGTGTATATATATATATATATATATACATATATACATATAGGATAACACGGACATGGTGAGAAAGAGCGACTAAGCGTACGTACGGAAGCATATATCGAATGATTTTTCGCAATGAACGTTAACGTAAGCACGGAACCATCGATGCTCGAATTGGCTTTTCTCGATTAGGAACATGGTAAAAACGCCGCGACGAAGTTCACGATCAACTTTCACTCTATGACGACGCACGCGGTTTCTCTCTGACTAGCTATCGCGAGAGCTCGAACAGCGATATTTTGAATCAACACGGTATATTAGGTTTCAGTTTGAAATCGATGGCAATAGACGACGTTATGTCGCTCTATATCTTTACCGCGTTTTATTTTCATTCTTTTCTCTTTCGTTTTCTTCAGTTGTTACGTTATTAACGTTCGAACCGATCACGAGAGAATCGCAACGAATCCGGGCAACGCGATGGTGGAAGTTTTGGTGAACGCGTGTGGCCAAGAAGCGATAATATCGGAAAACGATTGTAATCCGAACAATAACCCGACGAAATATTTGGATCGAAACGATCGTTGCGATTCGACTTTGGAACACTCGAATCTCAGTCCAATTCAGAATTTCTACAATGGACAAAGCATCTTCATCACAGGTGGTACCGGATTTATGGGTAAACTTCTTATAGAGAAGCTCCTCCGCGAATGTCCCGGTATCTCGTTTATCTATCTGTTGGTACGTCAGAAGAAAGGGAAGGATGTGCATCAACGTATCGAGGAACTCTTCGACGATCCGGTAAAGCTTTCTCTCTCTCTATCTGTCTATCTATCTATCTATCTCTCTATATCTATCTTTTATATCTTTCTCCGAATTATCCAGAATCGAGCCACGAATCGAGCCACGAATCGAGCTACTAGCTCTATTCGTATACCGCTCCCGACACCATGCGATAAACGGTCACGCGCACTCGCTTTCCCTCGTCACTCGCCTAAATACTACTACTGCCATTACTGCTACCTACTAATGCTGCTACTAGTACTACTCTTTCTCCTTGACCATGATCTTGCTGCTCTTTTCACCTCCGTTATCTTTTTCGTCTTTGCTACCTCTTGTCACGCATTCACGTATTTACGTATTCTACGTACCACACACACACACACATACACATACATAGATACAAATAAATACAAAAGAAATAAAGCTACAGATTAAAATAAGCATATCGAACCATCATACAGATATATTATTGCCTATTTATTTTTCCGCTTAGCTGTTCAGCAAACTGAAAGAGAAGCAACCAAAATTTCGGCATCAAATTGTTGCTGTAGCCGGAGACTGCTGCCATCCGGGTCTCGGGTTGTCTTCCACGGACAGACAAATGATAACGCGAGAAGTCTCGATCGTTTTCCACGTCGCAGCAACCGTCAGATTCGACGAAAAGATGAAACTCGCCGTACCCATCAATGTCCGTGGTCCCAAAGATGTGTTAGAACTTTGCAAGGAAATGTCTTGTTTGAAGGTAAGCTAACGCTAGCAATCATATGCGGTATAAATATCGCGACTGCGATTACATGTTTTTTAAATGGAACGACAAACGAAATTTTCCAGTCGTTCGTCCACGTGTCGACCGCATATGCCAATTGTCCTAACGATTTTATCGAAGAAAAGATCTACGAAGTACCTATGGATGCAGAGAAATTGGTAACTCTCGTGGAATATATGGACGAAAAATTAATCGAGGAAATTACTCCGCGGTAAGTCGATCGAAATTAACAAGGTCTATCGGATTACTCGTGTTGGACTAACTCGATCGTGTTGTCACAGATTATTAGGTGTGTGGCCGAATACGTATACCTTTACGAAAGCAGTAGCAGAAAGCATCGTTGTGAAAAAGGCCGGTGAACTGCCCGTTGGAATATTTCGTCCCGCCATCGGTTAGTAATTTCCAAGCGTCACTCGTTGCTACCGTCACTCTGATCAACGATGATGCGTGTGTCCAATCCAACACGAAATTTCTCTCTCGTATGCATTCTCGTTTACCTACATCTCTATCATTCCTCCGGTCCATCCGTGTTTCCTTCGAATAGAGAACCGGTACGACCAAACAAAAATGACGAAACGAAAAATCAAGAGAATGAAAAAGGTGTGCGAGAGAAAATGGTAGCGATGCAGATGGTGTTGGTGGTGGTAATGGTGGTAGCGGTAGTGGTGGTTGATAAGTAAAGGAAAGTGTGAGAAAGCGAGAGTAATTGGGTGGGGTACAGAGACTGATGTAGGTCAAATGTAAATGAAATATTTGATGGGTATGGAATTTTCAGTGATATCCACGTACCGTGAACCATTGAAAGGATGGATCGATAATCTATACGGACCAACGGGTGTTGCGGCTGGTGCTGGTACCGGATTATTACGATCGATTCACTGTGACGGGTCCAAACAGGTCAACGTGGTACCCGGGGACTTGACTGTAAATGCTCTGATAGCCTGTGCATGGGATGTGGCGAATCGTCGAAAGTAAGGAAACTTCTTCCTCCATCTTACAAAATAGCAAACATCTATATATACATATATACGCAACCTAAACGCTTACAGGTCTCTAACGATCACAGATGAACAAAATCAAGTACCTATTTACAATTACGTTTCAAAAGATAATTCTATTACGTTCGATCAACTGAAAACTCTGTCCGAAAAATATGGCCTCGAATTTCCTACTGGCAAAGCCATATGGTATTACAGTTTTCGAAATAACAAACACAAGATTATTCATTTTTTCTACGTTTACTTTTTACACTTGTTACCAGCACTCTTGATCGACACCGTTACGCTCTGTTTAGGGAAACAACCGAGGTAATTCTCTCTCTCTCTCTCTCTCTCTCTCTGCTTTGCCTCGCGCGATGATATTTTATTTTCGTTCTAACATATTCTTTTTATTCATTTCAATTGCTTTTTTGTTAAAGAATGTTGAAAGTCTACAAAAAGATACACAAATTTATGGATGTACTCAATTACTTTACTACCAAGGAATGGAAATTTTCAAATGATAATATTAAATCGTTATTAAACAAATTGTCGGAGAAGGATCGTGAAAATTTTGCTTGCGATATCACACAGGTCAACTGGGATCATTATTTTCGAGCGTACGTGCAAGGAATTCGTGTATACCTGATAAAAGATCCCCTAGACACCCTCCCACAAGCACGCATCAAATGGCAAAGGTAAATAAGATTGATCGGTATAATTCTTCTTACTTCTCGTGTGCAAACTGATACTGCACAACGTAATGCTCCATGTTGGATGTTTACTTTACAGATTATACTGGATTCATCAAGTGCTAAAGCTAATTCTCGCTTATGGTCTATTGCGAATATGTTGGTTAACCATGTCTCATCTCTTTCCAAGTTGCACACGTCAATTTGCGTAGTAAATGTGTATTACATGTATTACCCGTGATAATGCGCGCTCGTTTATACATATACATGTATACACGTATGTGTGTGTCAGATATATGCCATCGCGTCGAAACTTGGCTCCGATTGGATCGAGTTCACCGATTATCGCGTTTGTGATCGAAACTGATGTAACCAGTAATACTACCTTTCCGACTTTTCCAACAGTTTCAGAAGAATGGTCGAGAAAGGAAGGAAGGAGAAGAAAATATGAAAAAAGGCGGGTAATAAAGTATACCGGTCTTTATATCTGCAATTTCCGGTTTATCTGCAATACCTAAAGTTCATCACTTAACTCCGATTCAATATTATATCAGTAGCATCGAAGAAATTTCTAAAAAGACAAGAGAATACAGAGCACTTCCGTCCATTTCTCTTTCCTTTTTTCTTTCTTTCTTTCTTTCTTTCCTTCCTTCCTTCTTTCTTTCTTTCCTTTTTTCTTTCCTTCTTTCTTTCTTTCTTCCTTCCTTCCTTCCTTCCTTCCTTCCTTCCTTCCTTCCTTCCTTC